GCATGCTTCTAATAATCTAATGTGTATACCGTATACGTATTGAGCCTGTTTTACAGTCAAGACTCGTACATATTTTAAGAGGTTACATTTATATCGTCATGATGGATGCCTATCATTTTTTGTTTGTGATATATATGTTGTGTTACTAATTCATGTAATGATATAATATGCACAATAAGCTTCACGTTAAAGAATTAATTAAAAAATATTATCATGCTCTAAACATAACAATTTATTTTCTCAAAGAACTTTTATCTAAGGGGTTTAAAAATGGACCCCGTTCAAATTACGCAACTTTAAAAGAATAGTGTTTATTTTTACCTGTACAAGTTCAAGAAAACTAGCCCTCTTTCTTGACCCCCAAAGCATTGGTGTTGAACTTGAAACAATGCCAGAAGAAGGTTGGCCTTGCCTGTTTTTCTCCCTATTCATAAATGTGCCTTTGTCTTATACTGTTATACAAAAGAGGCAGAAGCAAAAGTAAACTACACCAAGGTCTTTAAATATTCTGTCCTACTTAGGAAGTGAATGCATTAGTAGTGTTATCTCCCGGGCTGCATGCTAATGTTAACGAAAATCACTTCGGAATTAAATTATAGAAAGATACTCATCACCTATTAACCGTCGATGTCGGGAAAGACAACTAAGGTGCAATACAAAATCAAAACTGATCTTAACACGAAAAAATTGAAAAAACTGAGTTCAAGGTTTTTTTTTTTTTTTTCCCTTCAAAATGGTATTTTACATGTTTAGTACGATTTTTCTAAAACACAAAAAAATTGAAGAAAGATTCTCGACGGATCTTTAGATCATATAAATCAAAACTGATCTTAACTATGACTTCCTTAAGAAAAATACAAAATCAAAGAGTGATTTTACTTATGCTTACTGCAGTTTGATCAAAGGTACGATATTCATTAATTAAGACCGAAATCGTACAAACTGAGGATAGTGTGCATAATGAACCTCGATAAAAATCTTGCCGGGGATTTCAACCCAGTCGAAGGAAAAGAGCGTCCTGCACAAAAGAGAGCCATCCTCAAATGAACAGTTGAAAAGAATTACACACTCTCTTGTAGAAGTATATCTTGGATCAAATTTGGGGTTTCCTCAAACCACACTACCTCCTGAGCACTATTAAGTCTCATCCGAGCAAGTTGATGGGCTGCCGAGTTCCCTTCCCATTGAATATGACTAACCACTGACTCCACCCACTCCATGTGAAGACACCGGAGATCATTAATTATAAGACCAAGGGTAAAGTGGTCGTCCCCACTCCCCCTCATGGCAGCAAACACCAACGCCAAGTCATCTTCAAACTGAACCTTCATCTCCACCATACCAATAAAGCGGACCAATATTGCAGCTCTCCGAGCTGCAAAGAACTCACCATGCACCACAAAAGAAACTCTCTCAAAGGGACCAGCAGCAAGACACTCCCCCAAATGATTTCGAATCACCACCCCAAAGCCTCCCCGGTTACTTCTCTTATTCCAAGCTCCATCAAAGTTGCACTTAATCTACCCTTCCGCAAGTCTTCCCCATCTCTAAGTCTCTCAGCTTTTCTTCTTTGCCGATGGCTTATGCCACTTATAGAATTCTTGCATCCAACCCTCTATCCGAAGCACAATTTCAAGCGACTGTAGTGCCTTGCCAGTCCAAAGAATCTCATTTCTATGCTTCCACATAGCCCAATTCAACATTAAGCCTAAATCAAACCCCGAAGCGGGCCCATTAAGCTGTAAATTAACTAACCACTTCATAAAACACTTGCCCTGCACACCATCCACCTGTATGCCTAGGCCTCGAAACCACACCATATTAGCCATATGACAATCCCTGAAAACATGTTCCATTGATTCCACCGGACCTCTGCAAACTACACACACCTCCTCGATCATCACTCTTCGTTTACAATGATTCAATTTTGTCGGCAGAGCGTCAACACATGCACGCCACACACAAATCTTGACCTTCCTCGAAACACAAGCACTCCACAGCTTCTTCCAAAACTTCTTGCCAACAATACTAGAAGAAGATGATGAGTCAATTGCCCCTTCGCCATTTGCTACATTCATCCCCCATGCAACATGATATGCACTTCGGAAAGTGAATTTCGCATTCCGTTTATAATGGCAAACCCTACAATCCTCATTATCGACTTAGAGGAATGCCACAAATTAGATCCACCTTCTCCTGGGAAAATAACTTATTCATCTACTGAATGTTCCACTGCTTCGATTCCAGCCAAAATAAGTTCTCTACCGTGGCCTCCTCATCCTAATAGACCGGTGTTGGAGTCAAAATCTGGAGACAGAAGTCCATCGGCACCCAATTGTCCTTCCATATTTTGACCTTCCTCTTGTTACCCATACGCCAGCGAATGCCTTTTTGTAGTACCGGGAGTGAAGCTTCAATACTTCTCCAAACATATGAACTATTAGAAGTCATCCGAGCATCCAGAAAATCTGTCGTAGGGAAACCCGATACACAAGAGTCTCAGGATCTTGAAGGAAACACCAAGCTTGTTTAGCCAGCAAAGCCTGGTTAAACGCATAAAGATCTCGAAACCAAGGCCCCCCCTCATGTTTAGGTTTACACAAAGTCCTCTAGTTGAGCCAGTGTATTTTCCTCTTGCTCGGATCTCCACTCCACCAAAACTTAGCTATCATCATATTCAATTCATCACAAAACGTTTTAGGGAGCATAAAGCATTGCATGGAATACATCGGTAGTGCCTAAGCTATTGTCTTCACCAGTAGCTCACAACCCGCATTACTCAAAAGCCCCATCGCCAACTCTACAGCTTTTTACACACCCTATCCTTCACATATGCAAACGTTTCTTTCTTCGACTTTCGGATTAACACCAGGAGCCTCAAATATTTATCATGAAAATCCACTCTTCACATACCAAGAAAATTTGCTAATAACTGCTTATCCCAATCAGTGAGATTGGAACTGAACGAAACACAACTCTTCTCAAAATTTACTGCCTGTCCAAACGCAAATTCATGCATACTCAACACCTGCTTGATATTCTGGCACTCACTAATTGTGCCTCGAGGGAATAGAAAGCTATCATCAGCGAAAAACAAATGGTGAATACTAGGTGCAACACGACATACCTTGATCCCCTTCAAATCTCCATCGAGCTCAACCCTCGTCAATAGTGCCAAAAGTCCCTCTGCACACATAACAAACAAATAGGGGGACATAGGATCACCTTACCGTATTCCTCTTTCCGGATGCACATAACCCACATGATCACCATTCAACTTAAAGGAGTAAGATACTGTTGTAACACACAACATGACCATACTAATCCACCGAACAGAAAACCTCAGCCGGTGCATCACAGCCTCAAGAAACTTCCACTCCACAAATTTTTTCCCTTCAAAATGGTATTTTACATGTTTACTACGATTTTTCTAAAACACACAAATTTTTGTAAAAAGATTCACGACGGATCTTTAGATCGTATATATCAAAGCTGATCTTAACTATGACTTCCTTAAGATAAATTACAAATTCAAAGAGTGATTTTACTTATGCTTGTAAAAGCATCTGTTGACATGTGTATTTCCATAAAAATATGTTGAAATTTGAGAATAGGAATTTGTCTCGATAAATATCTTGGATCATGGATTAGATTCGCCAGACTACTTGTGTTTTTATTGCAGAATTTGAATAAATATCTTAGAATCTTCAATAGTGAGATGCTTTATATGATTAATTACAATGCAAATGTTAAAAAGAACGAAGACTTTGGATGCGATTTCTAACTACCAATATTCTTTGAGTGAAATCCTTGTGATTTTCAGTTTTGATCGAAGTCCCTGACATTAATGTAATAGTGTATTACTATGTAGGTTATTGTATTTTTAAATTAAAAATAAAATTTGTATTTATTTATATTAATGAGATTTTAAATAAAACCATAATTTATGGGGTCAAAAATATTAAAGATAAATTATACTCTCCAATATATATAGTTTGTGTGTGTGTGTGTGTGTGTGTACATGGGTACGTTCATCAAAACTAACCAAAAAATTATTGTACCAAAACATGGGTACATTTTTCAAAAACACAAAAGAAAAAGATATTACGCTTAATAACATTATTAAATTTCTTCTATTAAATCAACGAAATAGAATGTACCCATATAAGTTTAAAAAAATGGATTAGAGAAAAGATTGAATGAATTTTATATAAAAAATGGTACATTTTATATTTAAAAAAGTGGTACATTTTACATATAACAAATTGGTATATTTAAGAATGGGTACATTTAAGATTAGAAAAAAATTGAAGAATTATATGAATGGGTACATATAAGATTAAAAAATTGAAATTTTTTATATAAAAATTAATGGTACAAGCTTATTCTAATTTTATTTTTTATATTTTGAAAATTAATTAGGAGTTTAATAAGGGTGTGAGTATTAAAACCCTAAATCAATTATTAATTTTTATTTTAAAAAATTATGTAACTCACATGTAATTTATTAATACATTAATACTTGGGACTTTGATCAAATTTTAAAAACTGATAAGGTCTCAGTCAATGAACATTAGAAACTAGGGACCGAATACTAATTTTTCTTAAAAAGAAAAAGAAAAAGAAAAAAAAGGGTAAATGGTGTTGAATATTCAAGAGCAAATGTGAGAGGAGCATGCTCCACTATATATCTTGACTAGTTGAAGCTCATATTGCATAAAAATAAAGTTTGAAAAAGAAAAGTTCACACAGCCATTTCGGGAAAATATAAATCCCCACGTTTTAGTTTGACTGATAAAAGCAAATATAGTCATATATACACTGCACCCCACAAATAAATGGAGAAAAGGAGATTTCGTAGAAATATACAGTGGAGGCGAAATTTGTCCTTTACAATATTTGAAATCATTTGTGTTTGTTCTTTTGACTATTTCGTACAAAGTCAAAGACAGCCAGCATGCACAGATACATGTATATAAAAGGACTTGGGAGTCTTCACAATCTTAGGCCGTGCCATTGTTTTTAAGCTTATAGCAGCAGAAGAAGAAGCAGCAGCAGCAGCTAAAAGTGTTTACTCCTACGATATCGCCTCAGCCTCGGAAATAGGCCAAGTGATTGACTGCGTGAGCGTGCCACTAATTTAGGCCCGAACAGAGAGTTTTAATCATTTCCTGATCAACTTCGAAAGAGAAAAATGGTTAGAGCTCCTTGCTGTGCGAAGATGGGGTTGAAGAAAGGGATTTGGACTCCAGAAGAAGATCACATACTTGTCACTTACATTCAGCAGCATGGCCATGGAAACTGGAGAGCTCTCCCAAAACTAGCTGGTAATTACTGATTAGACTTTGCTTAATTAACTGCTAATCCACTAATTTAAACAAGAAATTGTTTCTTGGGTTCTTCCAAAGTGCATCGAACATTTGGGAGAAGAATTGTATATACTAGAAAGTTTTGAGCTTTTGATTGACCTTGGTGTTTCTTTTTTCTAGGTTTGTTAAGGTGTGGAAAAAGTTGTAGACTCAGATGGACAAACTACTTGAGGCCAGATATCAAAAGAGGAAATTTTAGCAAGGAAGAAGAAGACACCATCATCAACTTACATCAAATATTGGGGAATAGGTATGTGGTAGTTCCATTTTTCTGCGAATTTGCATTGCATGTTAACGCAAACAGTTAAATCGATAATTTCACCGTTCTCTGCCATAGTATATAGATCACATTAAGTTATTGGACGTATTCATTTTCAATAACGGCATGTTTACGCAAATATAACTATTAGATCGATGACTTCATTTTTTTCATCAAAATATAAATCATTGAAACGTGTTTGTATTGAATAGGAATTCATACTCTTTACAAACTTTTTTTTATCCTTAAATTCTAAAGGGAATCATATCATACCAATTAAGAACATTGATGCATGTGGGGGCTAGGTGACAATCTAGTCGACTAGTGAAACATGTGGGACTGAAAAAAAGATTCCTTACATAACTTTCACTTGCACTACCTAAAAACCATAAAATAAAAATGATAAACACGTTTTTCAAGCATTTAAAATACTAAGCAACGGTTTTTTGCACTTTTGTATGGTGCGCACAATGATTCATGTGACACAACAGGACAGATTTGATATCCCTTAATCTGACTTATCTGTTGTTTTTTCTTCAGATGGTCACAAATCGCGGCGAGATTGCCTGGTCGCACAGACAATGAAATAAAAAATGTATGGCACACCCATTTGAAAAAAAAACTGAAATCGAACCACACCGAACCAGAGTCTAAGCCACATTTCTACTCTATCAAAATGGAGCAAGAGCTAGACCCCGTTGATAATTCTTCATGTTATGCAAAATCTGAGAGCTTGGATTGTGGGCCCGTTTCGCCGTCTCAATGTACTTCCAGTGGCACGTCATCTGTTACGACCGGCGACGACGACAACAACAACAACGATGCATGCATGAAATTTGATGATTACCAAACAAATTTACCGGTAGCGGATGATAGTTTTTGGTCGGAAGTCTTATCAGCCGGGAATTCTGATGAGATTGTGAATGAGTTTCAGGCATTTGGTGGTGATCCACGAGTGAATGTTGGACCTACTGATGGTGGTTTTAGTTTAGATATGTACAATGACAACAACATGGATTTTTGGTTTAATAATTTCCTGGGAGCTGGGGAAATTCCAGAATTGTTAGAATTTGATATGTCAATAAGGAAGGCTGTTTTATGATTTTGTTCATGAAGTTGTGAGTTGGCAAAAAGAATTTTCTTTTGTTGCTGTCAATTTCTTTGACCTTTTGAGATGGGAATCCATCGTATTCAACGCGGCAAAAATTAATATAATTCTTGTTCAATTTTTCCGAATGATTTGTCAAACTTGCCCGAGTGAATTTACTTGTGGACAAAATTGTATTCATATCAGTATTCGATTGGTAACGCAATCATTTATTAATTACAGCTCAAATGAGTTTCAGATAGGCTGAGGATTTATGGCCAACCATCTAATCTCACATCGGATAATTAAAAGGCTTAGTACACGAAATTGTGTTATTCTTCATTTTGTAATCCGTTTTATACTCTACAATGAAACTCCGATTCCTTCTTATATTAAAGTAGTTCACTCGTCGCCTAATATTTGTGGGGTTTTTTTTATTTTATTTTATTTTTTTAAAGGGTGACAACTAGTGACAAGCCACGGTTATCCACTTCTTCAGGAGCCAAGAAGAGTCACAGATGCATTTCAACCTCCTCTGGCCACAAGTCTAGCTTCCACACTAGCAACGGGTTTTGAACCCGAGACCTTCAGCTTTTAATTTTAAGGAAGCTTCGTAATCCGTCCTTCATTCATATGTTAATCCCAACAACACACATGCTCCTACATTTTAATATGTGTTGTTCACGTGTTAAACTTAAATGACCCCATACGTAAAAAGACGTCTCTCGATAGTATGAAACTCATATCGAATAACTAAGAGACCTAATATATTCTTACAAGAAGTTGAATTACTCTGTAGTATCATTTGGATTCTGATATATGAGATATGCTATATCTCAAACGCATGAGTCGACAGTTATTGCTAAGAACTAGAAAAAGAAACTACTTAACCAGATGTATCTAGTTTTCGGCAAAAAATAGATCATAGAATATGGCATTTAAAATTATGAAATAAGGAAATTTTGGTGGAAATTTGCCAAGCTAATGTCGTACATGCATGGTTAGTTAGGCGGCTGGGAAACTCCTTTCACGCGTGCGATTGGTATTGGGTTTCAAGATCGGCATATGAAGCAGCAGATTACGTAGTGTCTCATTTTGGCACAGAAATGTGTGACTACTGAACAAGGACGGGCTTCCATGCCCTCTAATTAGCCTTTTTTTATTTTTTTTTCTCTGGAGGTTGTAAGGGACTATCTTGGTGTTCTCCCACGTCCTTACCTATCTCCCTTATTTCCTCTTTTATGTTGAAGATGTTGATTGCAATGACTGGCTTTCCTGGTTTTCTTGTGGATTCCGGCCTGGTAATGAAATAATTTCGGTTTTCAGAATAATAATAATATTTTCTTATCAAACATCTAACCTGTTAACTGAACAAACTGTGAAAATGATTTTCCTGATATTTTAAACATCAAATAAAATACTATGTCGATATATGCAGTAACGTTCCCTTATCAAGCGATATGTACTTTTTCGAAAAATGATGTTATATTTCCAACTCATACCAAAAACACAAAAAATGGACCAAACCTCCAACCCATACCAAATTATTCCATCCATCTATTGCATCTTTGTTCATTTTCATTAGTTAACGTTAGATCAGTTTGCTTTATTGATCTAGAACACGAATTTTAAAGACAATCAGTCCACTTTTACTTATATTATGACATGTAAAATACCGTTTGAATACTCTTTACTTAAAAAAACCTATCATTCTAGACTTAGTGGGTGAACAAAAGTATTCCCCACCAATTAATTAGGCCAAATTATCTTTTTCTTGTTATAATAATCATATGCCTCTCTCTTCTCTCACCATGGACTCCACTTAAGAGCATGGATTACCAAACGATAGATTTTCACATGAAATTTGGAGTTATCAGCAATCTAACCTATTTTATAATCCTTCCTTTGCAGGCGTGCATGAACTAAGAACAAAAAACAAATATGTGGCGAACACCTGCGCTTAGATTTGTGCATGTAATAGCTAAGTCTAGCACGAGCTTAAAGCAATATTTAATCCAGTCTTTTTATCTCCCCCTTTTTTTTTGACAGGATATTAATCCTAAATAATCCCCAAATGATTTGCATGTCTCTGTGCTAACATCCACTCAACTAAACTATACATTTAGCAACGCAAATCTAAAGCTAATTAATCAACTTTGCCACCCTCATGAACTACTACTAACACTAGTACTAGCAGTCTAACAAAATTGCCTTTGAAATGCTCAAGCTTGGTTGAGGGGACCGTATTAAAGGAGAACACACAATAGCTACCAACATGCATCTCTAGTGCCCAGTTTGTAGGAGGTTTTTGTCACATCCCGGTTTCGATTCCGCCGTAACACAATATTGTCCGCTTTGGGCCCCGACCACATCCTCACGGTCCTCACAGTTTTGTTTTTGGGAACTCAGACGAGAACTTCCCAGTGGGTCACCCATCCTAGGATTGCTCTCACCCGACCTGCTTAACTTCGGAGTTCCGATGGAATCCGAAGCCAGTGAGTTCCTAAAAGGCCTCGTGTTATATGGAGGTGGGCATGTACATATAAGGCACATCACCTCATCTTCGTTGGTCAATGTGGGATGTTACAGTTTTGATCGAACAAATCAATTTAAATTGGATAAACTACACAAAACTATCTCAATTACGGGTTGAACCACAATCTCATGCCTCAATTTTTTAGAAGAACTCACATCCCACCAACCATCACGAAAGTAATTAGATTTGAGAAATCCTCATCATCAAAGTCATTGCATCAATATAATTAATCAAATGAGCATTCAACACACTAGAGTCTTTCCAAACTTGACACCAACACCTATCCAAATTCTCCATTTCATACATTTGCACAACAACTCAATTCCATACAGAATTCCTTTTCAAGTATAGGAGCAGTTAGATCTCTCATGTAATTTAGTATCCAAAATAGAGCTCCCTTGCAAGTATTTCAGCTCATAGATTTTTGCCCAAAGGCATCTATCCTTAGCTTGAATTATTCATCCAATTTTAGCCGACAAAGCTTGATTCATATCTGCCGTTTTCCTCAATACCACACCCCCAACACACAGTCTTCAAACAAGGCTCCATTGGCATAATTTTTTTTTTTTTTCCGCTCAGAGTTCCAACCACCCCCCCAAAAAAAAAGTTTATATTCAAAGTTATCCAGATGATCACATAACTAACATGAAGTTTAGTGGTTTATATAGCATAAACATGGGTGTAAGGACATTTGCACGCCATTATGACCAACTCCCCTACATATCCCCATGAGATCATTTGAATGTCTTTTGCAAATGGCTTGTAGCTCAGTTGGTTAGAGCATTCGTCTTTGCATCGAAGATCCCATGTTCAAATCCCTCTCCCCATAATTAGATAAGTTTGATGTGAATTATCCTATCGTTTGTCAAAAAAATTCTATTACAAAATCGACTTCGTATCTTCCATTCATCATGTTCTGCCGTCACATGTAACAAAAACGAGAGTAGATGGAAACCTAGTACCAAACTTTGGGCCCAAAAGAAAGGCCCAATCCGTAAACCTTATTTGGATTTATTTGGGCCGAGATCAGCAAGAAAACCAAAGCCCTGTTGCCTTATAGTTTGCGGAGAAGGTGAAACGTTGTCGTTTAGGCGGGAATTAACGTAAAAGAAAATTAATGAAAAATGTTTGAAAATTTTAAATTTTAACGATTAGAATGAAATAAAAAATAAAATAAATAATAAGAGGTTTAATTTTTTAATATAAAAATATAATTTTTTGTTAAAATAAATAATACCGTAGTTTTTTCGTTAAAACTTCCTTAACCGCATCGGTACTCCCATCTGCAGCGGAAGAAAAAGAAGTTTGTATATAAATTAATTAACAAACCGCAAACACCTCCTCCAAAATCTGATCTCTCAGTTCAATTTTTTCGGTTGGGGCTAGGGTTTTGATTCTTCATCTTCGACTGCACAAATTCGAACCAGATTTTTTGAAGTTTGAGCTTGGAGGGCAGCGAACATGGCGACCGCTTCAGGTTCGTTCTTCTTCTCCTTCGTTTATCCCCAATCTATCATGAATTTTACACTTTTTTTACTTCAAATTTGATCAATCGTTTGAAAGTAACATTCTTTAGTGCTATTTTTGTTGAAATTGATCGGTGTAAGATTTACGAATCGTATCATTACCTAATTTCGATCGGCGATTTGGGGTTTTGAGTTCGATTGGTCCAAAACCAAATTTTGATTCGTATGTGGAGACTCAGGGTTTCTTCTGGACCTGGGTTGGAATTACGTGGTAAAAATTTGAAATTTAATGGGTTTTACCACTCATCACATTCGATTCTGTTGAATATATGAATTGGTGAAACAAATATATGTATTCGAAAGTAGGGATTACAGCGTAGATAAATGCTATGCGATTAAGTTTTGTACTTTGTTGTGAAAAGTTGATTTTTCCTTACTGTGATGATGCAGTCCGTTGGCAAAACTGGTAGATTTTGGTGTTTTTCGGTTTCTCCTCTGCTACTCGTATATTGATGCATCTCGTGTGGTTGGTCTTGTAGGGTCATTCAAATCTAGGGAAGACCATCGTAAGCAAATAGAATTGGAAGAAGCGCGTAAAGCTGGGCTTGCACCAGCTGAACTGGACGAGGATGGAAAAGAGATTAATCCTCATATTCCCCAATATATGTCATCTGCTCCTTGGTATCTCAAACACGAGAGGCCTGTAAGTTGTTTGTTTTCTTTCTAATAAGTTTTTAGTTTTGATAATCGCACCCTTGTCGTATACGTCTGAATATTGATACTTTTTATTTTACTAAATCAGAGCTTGAAACATCAAAGGAAATGGAAATCAGATCCAAATTATACAACATCATGGTATGACAGAGGTGCAAAGATATTCCAGGCTGATAAATATAGAAAGGGTGCATGTGAGAAGTAAGCCTCTCTCTCCTCTCTCTCCTCTCTTGCCGTGTGTTTCTTGCAAACCAAATTGTAAACAATTTCATTGAATTAAGACCCTAACCGAAGTTCATAAACATCTTTTGATTTTAAATTTCAATATCTGTACTTGATTAATTGCACTTTGTGGTAAGTGGCATTGGGTTCTTCACTTACCTGTCAAATGTAAGGCTTTTCTTTCCCCTTCAGTATATATCAAAGACTAGAGATTAATGTTTGAATGTCCATTCTTACAGCTGTGGTGCCAGTACACACGACTCCAAGTCATGCATGGATAGGCCCAGGAAAGTGGGAGCAAAGTGGACAAACACACACATTGCTCCTGATGAGAAGATAGAGACTTTTGAGCTTGACTATGATGGAAAGCGGGACCGCTGGAATGGATATGATGCAACGAGCTATGCTCTTGTAGTAGAGAGATATGAATCAAGAGATGAAGCTCGAAAGAAATTCTTAAAGGAACAGCAACTCAAGAAATTAGAGGAGAAAAATAATAATCCAAATGGCGAGGACAAGGTTAGTGATGTGGATGAAGATGAAGACGAGGATGAGGATGATTTGAGGGTAGATGAAGCCAAGGTTGATGAGAGTAAACAAATGGACTTTGCAAAGGTTGAGAAGCGTGTACGTACAACTGGTGGTGGAAGCACAGGAACTGTCAGGTAAGAGTTTAAAACCGGTTTTTTTAATTTCTATCTTGTGTTGAGGGGGCATTATTATCGTCATAATGCTTTATTATTATTTTTAATTGCTTTTTCACTTGTGTGTTGGTCTCTATATATGACTCCTTACTGAGATATTTTTATTTGCAGGAATTTGCGTATTCGTGAGGATACAGCGAAATATCTTTTGAACCTCGATGTCAACTCTGCACATTATGACCCCAAAACCCGATCTATGCGGGAAGACCCTCTTCCAGATGCTGATCCGAATGAGAAGTTTTATGGGGGTGATAATCGATATAGAAATAGTGGTCAAGCCATGGAGTTCAAGGAGCTCAACATCCATGCTTGGGAAGCATTTGAGAAGGGACAAGATATCCACATGCAAGCAGCGCCTTCCCAGGCGGAGTTGCTTTATAAGAATTATCAGGTGATCAAGGAGAATTTGAAGTCAAAAACAAAAGACACTGTTCTGGAGAAGTACGGCAATGCAGCTAATGAAGAAGAATTTCCTAGGGAGCTTCTACTGGGACAAAGTGAAAGGGAAGTTGAATATGATCGTGCTGGGAGAATCATCAAGGGCCAGGTAAACTATTTGCATCTACCATTTCTCTTCATCCTTTTTATTTCAGAACTAAAAACTTTGTATCTGCCTCATTATGGAACATAAGGCCTTAATCAGTGTGTCAAAGACTCAATTATGTAGACAGCTGATGAATATACTATGCAATAATACAGGATATAGCACTTCCCAGAAGCAAGTATGAAGAAGATGTCTATGTCAATAACCACACCACTGTATGGGGTTCATGGTGGAAGGATCATCAATGGGGCTACAGGTGTTGTAAGCAGGTTACTCGCAATAGCTATTGCACGGGCGCTGCTGGAATTGAGGCTGCTGAGGCTGCAACTGATCTTATGAAGGCTAACATTGCGCGTAAAGAGGCCAATGGAGGTTAGTCCATCGGCTTTCCCCTTTCCTCGTGCAATTTTATTTTCAAATAGATAATATCTTTTATGTTGATATGTCATGTGTAAACCATTCTCCAGTACTGCCTTTGATTTGGTTGTTTTATTAACAATTTGTGTTCCCAACCTCAAAACAGATGTGCCTGCACCAGTGGAGGAGAAAAGACCTGCTACTTGGGGAACTGATATCCCAGATGATTTGGTTTTAGATGAGAAATTACTTGCTGAAGCTCTTAAGAAGGTGAGGGTTTCTGAACTTAATTCAAGTTGAATTATTGAGCTGAAAAGATGACCTGTGTATGTATTTATTGTTGAACTAGTTTCTAAATATTATACAATTTTGATACAGGAGGATCAGAGAAAGAGAGAAGAGAGAGACGAGAGAAAGCGCAAATACAATGTTAAATGGAACGATGATGTTACTGCTGAGGATATGGAAGCCTATAGGATGAAGAAGGTCCACCATGATGATCCAATGAAGGACTTTCTGAACTAAGTTGAGATGTGGCATAATTCTGATGGGAGCTCTATTCTCAAAACACCTTCGAGGCTGTCAACTCGATGTACTGGCATGGCTTCTGCAGTTCTGCAAGCCGATTTCTTGAATTTCTCCGGTTGTGGTATAACTCGGCTGACTCCGTCTTTTAATTTGTGCCCTCTCGAGTGTGATTACTGTAGAGCTATTACATGAGCTACCCTGTGGTTGAGACATGAGATTGAAGGGGGAATGCCGATAAGCGGCTACTCATTTAAATTGCTGTTTACCTTGTGCTCGAGTGTCATGTTAATGAGTTGTGTATGGCATTACGTTGAATTTACCTATCATGTTCTTGTTCTGATGCTCATCATTTAATAAATTGTTGAAACCAAAACTGCACTTGTTTGAAGTGTTTTTAAAATAATTAAAAGTTTTATTGGTGAAATTGATGTTAGGTTGTAAAAGAATTTTAAGTACTTTTTGAAAGAAACACTAAATATGTGTTTCTTACTTAAAAGTGCACTTTAAGTATCCACTTGGATTTTTATCAAGGATTGGTTTTAAAAATATTTTTACCGAAAACATTTTCAGTTATTTTGAAATCACTTCTAAAATAGCTCTTATTATGTTACTTCCACATTTATGTATAAAATCGGAAAATTACATGTTTCCTATTGAAAAAGATGAAAGTTAAGTCAAATTGTTTAGATTATTAAGTTCCTCTATTTGCACTTAAAAGTTCGAATTTTCTCTCATTCAATAGATTTATTTAGAATAGACTATCGGCTGCATCAAAATTTTTGGTAACCATCCTATATCTTCCATTAGAATATTATATATGTTAAAATAAAAAAATGTTAAAATTCTTGCATACAAATATAGTCTTTCTGTATTTCTCATTATGCGGTTAAATTCTTGCATATAATCAGATGTAAACTCTGAACTCTAGTCTTTCTTAACAAAGAATGGAATATATCTCTCTGTGTCTCATCTCGTGATCAGGTGATAAGAGTATTGGAAAAACGGAATATATCACCTGGGACAGCCAATAATCTTCCCCTTCCAAGTCATGATTATGTAAAAGCTGTAAAAGCTTCATCTTATTCTTCCTCTTCTACCCACCGGCGTTTTATTTTATTTTATTTTTTTATCCCCTCATTGAAGCCAATAAATAAATATAACAGAAATTCATGCGAAACAAATTATTTTTCAGAATAATCACACTTAATTTACATCATGTACAGATTTCTTAATCTAATTAAAGAAGCAAGACTTATGCTACAAATGATCACGTGCCAACTTCTCCTGAACCTCCATTTCCTTTCTAAATTTGGCTATGAACTCCTCAGCTCTTTCGTCAATCCCGTGCATCATTGGGGAAGCAAATCCCAATGACTCCCACATATCATCCGCCGTCGCAGGAGATCCTCTCTCAGCCCCACTTTCAGCACCGGCAGCAGCAGCGGTAGCTTGCTTGCACTTCGCTACCGGAGGCTCAGAACTCCCCACCAACTCAGTCACAGCAGGCTCTTTAAAAAGCTTGTCAACGTAGACATGCGCAGCGCTACCACGGTTCTGAGGAAGCTGACGCCGGTTGTATCGAAAACGTAGGGCGAGACGCCCTTTGCGTTTAAAACGCAGCTGGAGAAACTTGTAGGGTTTCAGTCCAACAGAAGAAACAAAAAAAGCAGGAGAAGCAGAAGATGAAGAAGCAGCAGTAATGGCTTTCACACAGTTTTTTCGGGGTTTTGCGATGCCTTTAGGCTTGTGGAGTTTCCTCTGTAGTTTGGAGGTGAAGCTCTTCCAGGCCCTTCTGGCTGGTGGAAGCCTCAATCTCAAGCAAGACATGGATAACTAGGGTTTGCGAAGAGTTTGTGGAGAATGGCTTTTTTTATAAGCTGCTAGAGAGATTCTTTCAGCTTTTGGATTGTGGATTCGCTTTTGGACTAATTAAAGGTAGCTTACTTCTTACTCTACGCGTTTGACATGAAAGAAAAATCCAAAGAAGTAGGCGTCTTTGGGGGCAGGCAAAAAGCAGTTTTGATCCAGGCTTCAACTTATCCATGAATTTTGGACGTATTGAAAAGCTTACCTATATCCCAAGATCAGTCTACCAGGATTGGAATGAGCTTAACCTAAACTTATAAGTGAACTTTATGAGTTAGAATCGAATAAAATTATCAATCAATTTTAAATTATGACATGTTTACTTATCTAGAATGAGAATTACAATTACACCACGTTAAATGCGTTTACTAACATTTTGGATTGTAATTTTTCCCATTCATTCTATATTTTCTAAAAAATATATGTAAGGCCTACATTCACAGCATGCACTAGTACGCACGGAATAAAAAAAAAAATCGTAAACCAATGATCCAATTGATTATTCCAACCAAGTAAAAGGGTAATTTTGAGCTAAGCCGCAAGTTAACCATAAGAATTAAGTATCAAACTCGTTACCCTAATACTCTGGTGCTAGTGAGTTGTGAACTTTGAAGAACTTCTGTTCCATCTTTTGCTATTAGCATAAAGATCAAAGCTAATAACCAGCCTAGGCCCCATCTTAGTTTTCTAAATGTCCTCATAAGAAATATGATTGATATGGATGCCTTCATGTCCCCCTTTTTGTTGTCTCTTCTCTCAACTTGTAATTGCAATCACATGAAGCAAGTGCAGTACTGCAGTAGTACAAAATGCATCTACTTTTCTTCTTTTTTTCTGCAACTTTCGAAAATATTCCAAGGTCGCGTGGAATAAAGGGATGGCACCAACAAACGGATATTATTCCACTTCCTTCATAAAGAATGGACAAAACTCCCCAGAAGTGAATAACAAAACCCAGGGAAATTCTGACGCTGGAAAAACGAAAAAACGAAGATATTCCGAACAATAAAAACGCTACAACATCCATCAAGACGGTCGCAACTTATACGAAGAACTAAATGAGGGCTTGAACTCCGAATTGCTGCATCTCTCTTACTTTCCAAATTGGATAAATAGCACCTTCACCGAGTTCTTCTGGATCTACCTGTTGCATTGCCCAGGCATAATACACCGTGTGGATAGTGTCCTGATGAAACAATACGATTTCACAAAACATGAGTTTGTATGTATAAAACCTCAAATAAGCAATATAATGACACGATAGAACATATTTCCGTAGAGAACTGCGGTTTGAAAGGGGAATATAATACATTTGATATAATGTGTGTAGGGGGTGTGTTATTTACCTTGCCACCATCAGTTACATCACCATTTCTATCTCGTACACAATACACTTGCTGCGTTCGGAACTGTTAATTCATCGAAAATGGCTGTCACTGTCAAATTCTGCTAAACAAATGGAACTTGGAAAATCAAAATCGAAAATGCCTACCATTACAATAATAATGGGAGAATGTCCCATCATTTTGGTCTCTTTTATTTCCGCCTCAGAAATATGTAGAATCTGCACACCACCAAAAAAATCATAAATTAGAATGCACCATCATTGAGTATGAGATCAATATTGTATGATCAATAATAGTAGACAAAATCAGTATAGAATGCAACGGTAATTAGCATGGAAACACTCATCTTAGGAAGAGGCACGCTTTCTACCTTGTGATCGAAAAAGATGCCATGGCTTTTAAAACCATCATGCTCAGCTTTACACCGCTCAATCACCTCCTTACTACAATACTTCTTCAATGTCTCAAGATCCCCCTGCATATAAAATGCACGTGTTATTCCATAAATTTGAGAAACTCAAATGGTACTCACAGGGGCATAATTGGAATCATGATACGTTGACAGCAAAACACAAACAAGAAAAACAAAGATGAGAGGCGAGGAGGGAGAAAGAGGGACAGTTCCAGCACTAACCTTGATGTAAGCATTCAGCACAGGTTTAACAGCATCCTGAACTTCTGACAAAAAGTCTGGTAAAGAGAAGGATCTACCATCCAAGGATTACAATTAGAAAAAGAAATTAATAGTAATCCAAATACAAAATAAGTATGACAAGAAGCACCAGCAAATGAAAATATGATCATACGGATCTCGGCGACGTATCTCCTTGATTGATGCAGCGGTGTCTGTTTCTTGAAAAATAGTTTCGTTTAAACTGCCAAAGGAAGTAGGGTCAATTCAGGACTCAAATATTTTACAACTGGCTCCACCACTCATATATTTACAAGCTACTGTTTTAGGGAAAAACTCTCATTCTGTGGGGACAAACAGCAAAGTAGAGCCCGTTTTGAAAAGAAAAAAACAAACGATGACTCAGGTGTAAAGAACAAACAAGAATTAAAGAAAGTTTAGCAGCATACTCCTGAATTTTGTGAACGATTGGGCTATCGCTTGTATCCCAACGATCCCGTATGTCCTCAGCAATCTGCCAATTTCATCAGGGACATACAGCAACCTCAAGAGATTTAGTACATATAAAAAGGTTGTGAAACACAAGGCCAACAGAAATTTACTGGGTAGATTTTTATACAAATGACAACTTCCTTGACAACACTATAACATTAAAAAAAGAAGCAATACAAAATACGGCATAAATGTTATCCGTCCATAAACATTAAGTATACACTAGATTTTTCACAGAACAGACACAACAATTGAATAACATACCTCCTGGGTTTTGTTTGTAACTGGTTTACGTATTTCATCAAGACGCTTGAATATAGGATAACCTTGCATCTAGGTAAGAGAGGAAAAAAAATTAAATAATTCATAGGGGACAGGCAACTAGATATTAATTTTGTAATATTTAAGGAGCGGATAAAAAGTTAACCTTCATTCTGAAAGCCTCCCACTTTTTACTCCAGCGAGATTGGGGTACAGCAACAAGGTCCGTTCTTGAACTAGTTTCAACTTTCGGGGTCGAAGAAGGATCAAACTCCAGGTGCTTTCTCTTAGTTGTAGTACCAGTTAACTCACCCTTTACAATGTCATATCCTTTTTTAGCCAAGTCCGTAACCTTTGCATCCTTAACTCTAGAGAAGGCAGAGGAAAAATACGAGGAAGAAACACTTGACCTAAATTTTCCAAAAAATGTTTGTTCAGTACTACTAGACCCTGACTGCTGGTTTTTATATTCCCCAGATTGCTGGTGATTATGTTCCCCAGACGAGCCCTTCATTCCATCATCAGCAACATGCTCAGATTTTGCACCAGAAGGCCCTGAAGCCTCTTCTTTCTCAATTCCAAAAGTTCCTTTGACCTACATAGAACAACAGAGAAGTAGAAAACAATAAAGTTCAGCAGATCAAAGCATGTACAAGTACAGATCCAAGAGACAAAAATTAAAGCAGCAAGCAGACCTCCTCTGTGGCAGCCGAGATCTTCTCCTTTACATTGGCAGAAACCTGCAAACATTAATTCAATGAAAAGTTGACAACATGTTTGTCAAAACAAATGCAAGTTTCTTATGGTAATAATCAACAAAAACTTGATATACACCACAAACAACATAATGGGAGGGGGTGGATATCTTGTGCAAATTCAGCACCATCGAGTACTCTAGATATTGAAGCGCTGAAGATTTTAATATATTTGAAATGATACCTTCTTTGCCGTTGCTTCCGCCTCTGTCCACGCACCATCCACCCGCTTGTATAGCTGCTCACTTGTCTGCTTCGTTCTGCATTCGCCATTTCACCATCTCAGAGCCTCCACTTGGAAGTGCCCTTGACATACAAGGGTATGTCTCAGCCTATGAACTACAAATACTAATCATAGCATAAAGTGACTATATAAAACAATTACCTCACTTTCAAATCTTCTTTAACCCCTTTGAGCTCTTCCGCTTTCTCTTTCAGCTCCTTCACTGACTGTTGAAATTCGGGATTCCTGCAAGCAGAGCAATGATGGTGAGCCAGATGTCCCAAAAATTCCTTATGAGAACTCAATAAAAGTTAAATGTTAACGGTTGCGGTTTGAATAACAACTTCACTGAGCAAAAGAGCGGAAAACAAAGCCGAAAACTAAGCCGATGGACTGCATTACTTTCCACATTCAAATATCTAGCTGTTACCGGTTTTTTAGTTCAAGAAACAAACTTCAAATATAAAGTTCAAATTTTTGTTGATTATAAACACAGGCTTAACAATTTGTTGCAAGTAAAACAATTTTGAGCCAACACTTAAACAAGAAAAACCAATTAAAATAGCAGATATTACACAGGCAAATTAGAGAGAGAGAGAGAGAGAGAGAGAGAGAGAGAGGTACTTAGTAGCTTCTCCTTTGACTTGCTTCGAAAACTCATTGAAGACACTGAATCGACGATTCCCCAAAAACCCATTGGCCGAAATCAATCGACCTCTCGTGCCCGAAACCTATCTCATCAAATCCCCAACACCCAGCCCACAAAAAAAATATCAAAATTAACCCAAAAAACTTCGGTCTTTGATTCATAACTTCTTCCTGTAGAATTTAGAACGAACCTGCTGTTGGGAGGTCAGATGAAGAAAGAGGGGTTGTCTGTAGAGGTGCAAATCTCGCACTAGCTTTCTGCCCGCCATTAAATTGGAGGCGAGTTAACAACTTTCGGGCAGAGAAAAACAGACAAAAACCCAATGGCGTTTCGATTTTTGTTTATTGAGTTTTTTGCAGGGTGGGGTGTCTGAATTAGTAGACAGTGTCCCTGCGTGGGAAGGAAGAAAGGGACGAACAAAGAAGGAGATGAACGTGGATCTTACACTACTCCAAACCAAACACGCCCTAGGGTTTCTGTTTACAGGCAGATCTGGGAGATGAATGAGCCCAATACGAAAATATAGGCCCAATACCGTTGGGGCGGCCCATTACTTTCCATTTTGTTGCCAAATTGGCATTCTAAAAAGGGAAATTTTATTTAAACTCATCTAACATATTTCTACACCAAACTTATTCTTTTCACCCATTTGATTTTTAACTAAACTATTAATATCTCTTTAAATCCAAATTTAATACCTAATATACCCCCATAAATCTAATTCAATATGTGGATTTATTTTTACACCCATTTGATTTTTTTACTGTGCAAATATTTAACATCTTTTGTGATGATATTGTTTGATAAATAAATATAATGAAATAGATCATACAATTGTTGTTTTTGAAGAATACGATATGAAAAAGACAGCATAAAAATGAGGCAATCTAAAGATAAATGGATAAATCAGTGAACTAAAGCATGCACCAACAGTAATGCAGTTCAATAAGCAACTCAATGAAGTGGAGTCAACCTAATTAAGAATCGCAAGTGATTTATCTCTCTCATCTGATAAGTTGAGCAATCGAGACCGAAGCTCCCTCGCTTCAGTTGCTAAAATTGCTTTATCCCAAAGACTTGTCCAGCATGCTGCACAGAAAGAATATAACCTCAGTTATGATGCACCCTTAATTAAAATTAGCAGAACTCAGAATCCATTAACTTCAAACTTTAATTACATTTTACAAAATACAACCATGTCATTTGCGTCTTTTGCATGTGCCAACATCCGTTTAAGCTCCTCCACCTTGACCATGATATCCAAACCTCCCCTAGAAGCTTCCTCTTGAACAATATCCACCGCTTTCTCCTGGACCTCCACTTCTCTCATCATGTTGATGACCGATTCCATGGCTGAAAATAGGGTTTTCTGCAACATTGTTAAATGATTAGGAACTCTATCATTGGGGATGAGAGAAAAAATGGTGCCGCTAAAAACTAACTCCATGACAATGGTGCGTCAACAAAATAACACAAACAAAACATTAAGAATACACTTTCAAATATCAAAACAAGATTTATTATCCCAAGATAATACATATTATTGGTAAAAAAAAAAAATGAATACCTGCTTGTACCGGTGGAGTCCTAGGACTCTGAACCTACACAGGACTGACAGCCAAAAATGACTGTAGCCAAGTTAGGGAACTCACTAAGAACATCGAGGACAGCTGCATCGGCATCGAAGGGATGTTCAATAGCAATAGCCCTCAAAATGCGAAAATCAACCTGAGCCGAATCAGAAGAAATAATATGGACGGTCAGTTACAATCAAAAGTAAACACAATCATTTACGAACAATAAAAGCTTCTCTCTCAGCTCTCAGATTTATCTGCAAGGAGGAGGAAAAGAAACCCGAATTTTACAAGAGTCAAAAGTTGATCCAAATCCTGGTCCGAGAAAACCCTATTGAGATTTCAGCTAAATGGAAACTAGAACAGGAAAAAAATTGCAGGGTTTAATAAGACTGTTGAAGAACAGAGTGAGATTGTGAATCGTGATCCTAGAGAGAGAGAGGAGAGAGAGAGGATTTATTGATAAATTTGAGTTTTATTATTAATTTCATTTTGTACTTAATAGTAATTATGCAATAGGGTAAAATAGACAATTAACATTCAAAATTTTAAGTTGGGTGTAAAAAGAGATTGCATGTGTTTAAATAAAATTTCCCTTCTAAAAATCTAATTATGCACTACAAACTTTTTATCAAGAGTTTTTGGAGTGTCAATAATTATCATAGTTTAAGTCATGCGATAGGTGTGGAAGGTATCTGAGGTGTTTATGAAATAGTCGTTTGCAACCGTTTATGAAATAGTCGTTTGCAACCAGGAGACCGATCGTCGCCAAATCGGAAAACACGTCGTAAATCTCATGCCTCTCGTGGAAGATTGACGAATACCCAAAGATTTGGGACGTTGCTAAAACATCGTAATGGTGGAGAGCAGATGTTTGGAAAAGTTTTGAGGTGTAGTGAGGAAGAGTGAAAAGAGAGTTGGTGGTCTAGTTATGCAGCGTAAAACGAAATAAAATATCGCTCTTAAGAATGAAGTATTCTACTAGTATTAACGTCCATACAACCAAAATCATAGTGTAACTAAGTTAGAGCAGCATGCTCTAGTTCTGCTCTTAAGTTTGAATTTTCATCACCGTAATTCAGATTAAAATAAAATATCGCTCGAAACATAAAAGAGGGCGACAAGGGTTGCTTGCTAAGGTTAGTGACAAGCCTCATTGGCAGTAGAAAAGTGTTGGGCTTGAAGGGCAGCTGCTTTCTCAGACACCAAAGCTTGGATCAACAAAGTCTTGACCTCCCATGCTGTGTAAGGATACCCTTTTCTTGCATAAGAGTTCAGCAGTGCTGCACTCGCCTGCTTCACCAGCCTAGGGTAAGCATTCTCCTCGTCATTCCTGACCGTCGCTTCAAGCAATGTCAGATCGGATCTGTAACGTTCGTATGCTCTTGATCCAAACACCTTTGACACCGTCGATGTTTGTGGGACCATCTTCGGCCACGACTCCCTCCTGCTCCCCCAATACCTGTGCAAACCACAGAGAGGCTGAATTGAACTAATAGTAATAGGCCAGTAATTTTTATGAATTTTCACTTTTGTTCTCATAGTTTCTTTACTTACATTTTCATCCTTTTAGTTCCACCTGGTTACCACCTTTACGCCACTCCGTAAGAATTTCCTTCAAAAATAAGGAAAGAGATCCATACCGGATCTCTTTCACCTAATTCTCCTCATTAAAGAATCCGATACTTAAAATTTGATCAAACGACTAAAATTATTATAATTTTTAAAATAAACCTTGCTTGTAGCAATTGGATAAAATTTTAAAATCAAGAAGATTAGGTGAAAGAAATTCAGAGATGTCGATCCCTTTCTCAAAACTAAGGACGTGAAATCCTTTTGCTTAGTAAATCTAAACAAAGCAAATGTTTGATTCAAGCACATGCTTACTTTTGACGGAAATTCTCACGGAATTGCCCTAAATGAGTATTGAGTAATGCTCCATTTTTTGTTAAATTCCGGTAATAGTTTTAATTAATTTTTATTTTTTAATTTAGAGACCAAATCTATTTAATGCTATTTCATAACCAATATTTCTATTCTCTATTTTTCAAAGAAGGATTGGACTAAAACGAAAACAAAATGAAACTACAAGGACGAATAAAAATAAAAATAAAATAAATAAAAGTGAAATCGTAGTTAAACTACGGACACCAATTGCAATTTAATCCCCAACACATCGGTCCCAACTGAAGAAAGAGAAAAAAGAGAGAGGAGTTTAAAGAGAGGTTTGCTTACTGAGGAGTGCATCTTCCTGTTGTTCTTGTGAAGAGAAATCCTGGCCGTTGGTTTCGGGCCGTCGTTGTGGGAACAGAGCAGGCAACAAGTAGCAGAAGAAGAAGAAGAGCGAGTTGACTCAGTTGAACTAATATTTGCTTCATTTTTGGTGGTGGGGTTTCTGTCTGTCTTCTGTTTGGGATCTGAGTTTCTGGAGATTTGACTCGGTTTCAAACCCGGTCTGTCTTTTTCGCTCCTCCTTTTGGAGTTTTTTTTTTTTTTTTTTTTTTTGGGACATTCAGGTACTCACCCAACACTTGTAGACTGGGCCATACACAGAGGGATGGTCCAATGGGCTCAGCAAACCCGAAAATATTTAGAGGCCCAAAATTGACTTCTTATGGTTAGTATGATGAATTAAGACTAATTAATTTCGCCTCTATTTTATTAATTTAACTAATTGTTTCCTTCATCCCTTACTTATCTCAATACACTAGCGCATCGGTGTACGACCCTTTAAGTTTTAACTTGCGAGGCAGTAAGGTGATTAGTACTATTGCAATCACTTTAAAACATTCTTTTAATTCTTCTAATCTACGACTATGTGGTTAGTCCTCGAGAGGGCTCACAAGTCATAGTGATATCTAGTCATGTGTCATACTACCTAAGAGAATATAGAATAGTTTAGAGAATTTATTCAGTTGCAATGCAATTCGATCTTTCTCTAACTCAATATTCTTAATCACATTATTAGGATATGGATATTTATTTCAAACTCGTAATGTGATTTCCCTAAATATATGTGATTCAACTAAGACGTGTAAATACATGTTGTTTTAACTTGTACTCATGGTTCAGTGTTTTTTGGAAGTTTGGTTACACGTGGAGGGTGATTGTCTTTGAGAAATGCTAAAGAGACTCTCTCATAGTAAAATTCTCCATAAACTCTTTCTCACTTTACAGTTTAACGTCAATTTACATGCCAACATTATAAAATATTGTGCTAAAAATATGAAGAGATAGAGAGTTCATAAAAAATTCCACTTTTAAGAGAGTCTCTTTAGCATTTCTCATTGTCTTTTGGTGCACGTGCTAAAAAGCTTTGGACTTGAGAGCGTTGGAACTTGATTGTGCTGGAACTTGATTGTGCTTTTCATTGATAACACAACAACAAAAGGGTGAACATATATATTCATTGGAGATTCTCTCCCCTCCAATTTATCTTTCCTCCCATCCCCTTCCTTTTCTTGTGTAAAGCATATGAGTATTGTATTAACTATTGTTGAAGGATATGAGAGTTGTTTAAAAACATATTACATTATAGAATATGCACAGATGTATATTTGTCGCACTTTTTTTTTTAAATATTTGTACACATGTATATTTGTCACTTAATTTGCCATATATATATATGTATGTATAAATGTATATTTTTAGGCTAATTATATTAACACCTCACAAATTGTTGAATAAACCCCACAAACTTAATCCACCTCACATTTGCTTTTTCACTTAAAAATTATCTTAATACACCCCACTTACTTTCCCATAATACCCACACACCCCACATTCTCAATATATATCTTATATTTTGTACATACACCCCACATTTCTCAAATCTTATAACACTCATTTTTAATTTTCAAGGATTGAATCTAACCATATGAACACTAAAAGATGAATATGAATATAGAAGTTTAAATAATGCAGCAAACACAAGATTAAATAATTATTGATGTCATCGAAATCACTAAACCAATGAAAACTATGAAGTCTTACCTCATGTGAAGCTCCTGAAACATCGATTTCGTGTTCCATTTGTCAAAAACAATTTTTCTTAATCAACATGTTTGATAGTTGAGAAGATAAATAATACGCTAAAAGTGATTTGGGGTGTATTTATAAATCTTTATTTTTTTAAAACCTAATAAGGTCAAAATTGTCATTACATAGTAGAGTAAATAAATCATTTAATATTAAATTTTAATGTGGGATGCATTCAACATTTTGTGGGGTGTTAATATAAAAACCCTATTTTTAAAGTCAATACTAAGTAGGTGGGTGTAGTGAAGCGAAAGAAAAAGAACGTGCATAAATTATCATATATAGATGATGATGGATCGAGACTGAGGAGGATATGGAACAATGTGGAACATGCAAGAAGAGTTGGGATAGAACCAAAGCTGATCAGAAACCATCAGGTGGAGTTCACGTTTTTCACCAACACGCCTGCATGGCTTCACCTGAGAATTTACTTTAATTACCATGGTCCCTGCATGCAAAACGGATATAATTATTTCTCCAGTAAAACTGAACCAGGTTCTGGCAGTAAAAATTCGCTTCATATTAAACATGACAGCAATGGCGAGAGAGAAAGAGTACCTACTTGGTTGCCACATATTGCAAACTAGCTTTTATTTCTCGGAATATTTTAGTATGAATAATACTTTGCATTTTTCTAGTGGGTGAGCTTATTTTTTTATTTGTAATTAATGTATATTATCGTAATGATTTTATAATGGAAACTATTCAATTTTTTAATCTTCGTCTAATGATCATTTCTACAAAAAATCATTGAAAAAAGGAAATTGTATGGTCATCAAAATGTATCAAATAAATAGACAGTTCATTGGTACTATGTTATTTGGTACATATATCATTGATTTATTTGATGCATTTGAATGACTTATCAATCTCATTTAAAAAAATGAATTATTCAAATGAAAGTTAAAAAAAAAATTCGATTATAAAATTTCTACAGTTAAGATACATTATTTATAAGTGTTGGAATGAGCTAATTCCAAAGAAAGAGAGACAAATATTATTCTTTCACTGTATATATGCACTGATGTATAATATAGAGTTATGGACTGATATTTTTTATCGTTAAATCTTTTATTGTTGATCCGTGGTCTTAACCGAGTATTTAATTATCTATATGTTGGTGCATGTCAGAATTTTCTTACTTTCTCTTGTATTAGAACAGGTTCAAGTCAGTAAATATTTACTTGAAAACAAGACAACAATGAGAGATAGTACCAACTAGTTGCCACATATTTCAACAAACTTTGTTTCTTCTCAGAAGCCAAAAGCCACCTACCCTGCAACAAAAAATGAGGTGTAAACAATTCAAACCACCATAGCCATGCAAAGAGAAAAATGGCGAAAGATGCCTTACACACAAATGCATACGTGTCCCTCCCTCTCCTCCTCCTCCCCCTATAAATACTAACGCATCCTGCTCGCCGCTTCACCACATCCGAACTCAAAGCAGCCTCTCTCTCCTTCTGTAATATATCTATTCCCCATGGCTAAGCTTTTTGTTTTCTCTCTTTGCTTGCTTCTTATAATCAACTGCTCCCTAGGGTCCCGCCAGCAGTTTCAGCAGCAGAATGAGTGCCAGTTCAACCAGCTCCAGTCCCGGGAGCCCGACAACCAGATTCAATCCGAGGCTGGTCTGACCGAGTCCTGGAACCCCAACGACCAGCAGTTCCAATGCGCCGGCGTTGCCATGGTTCGGCGCACCATCCAACCCAACGGCCTTCACTTGCCTTCCTTCCTCAACTCTCCGCAACTCATCTACATTGTTCAAGGTAATTTATTATTTAACACCTTGTTATTATTTTTTAATTAATTAGTCAATCCATATATGCATGATCCATTCACGTTAGAGCGCTGCTGTTTGATTCACATTTACGCACAATACTTTAATTTGTGCTCTTACAGGTAGGGGTGTGTTGGGTGTGGCGTTCCCCGGCTGTCCTGAGACGTTCGAGGATTCTCAGGACCGGCAATTCCAGCACCAACAACAATTCCAGCCGTTCCAGCCCTCCCGACGACACGGAGGACAGGGACAACAACAACAGCAAAGCGAGGAGAACCAAGACCGCCACCAGAAGGTCCGACACATCAGAGAGGGTGATATCATCGCCTTGCCCGCCGGTGTCGCTTACTGGAGCTACAACAACGGCAACCAGGATCTCGTTGCTATCTCCCTCCTTGACTTCAGCAACGAGCAGAACCAGCTCGACCAACAGCCTAGGGTAAGTAATATTAAGCAGTACAATTAATAAAAAGTTTTTTTTTTTTTTTAATCTTGCGTGGAAACGTTGCCCACATTGACTAGGAGATGTGTTTTGTGTGTTTCGCGTGCACAGAGTTCGAATTTTATCATTTATTTATTGACTGGTTAATGACGTGGCTCTATGTAATTTGTTGTACTCTGTATATAAAGAGATTTTATCTAGCTGGCAACCCACAAGACGAGTTCAGCCAGCAACAAGGCCAACGGTATCAGCAGGGACGCCAACAGCAACAGCAGGGCCGCCAACAGCAGCAGCAGGGCCAGGGTGGACAGCAAGAACGGGGCCAACAAGGCCGGCGTGGACAGCAGCAACAGGGGGGCAACGGCAAAAACCTCTTTGCCGGATTCGACACTCAGATGCTCGCTCAGGCTCTGAATGTCGACGAAGAGATCGTCAACAGGCTCCAGGGACGGAACGACGACAGGAACGAGATTGTCCAGGTGCAGGGCCAGCTCGACTTTGTCAGCCCATTCAGCCAGGGCGAGCAGGAAGGGAGACGCCAGATGGGAGGAGGAGGCCGCGCCAACGGTTTGGAGGAGACATTCTGCAGCATGAGGCTCAAGGAGAACATCCGCGACCCTTCTAACGCCGACTTCTACAGCCCTCAGGCTGGCCGCGTTTCCGTCGTCAACAGCGGCACCCTCCCCATCCTCAGCGCTCTCCGCCTCAGCGCCGAGCATGGCGTCCTTTATAACGTAAGTAATGTTAGAAGATGGTACACTAGATTTTAAATAAATAATTTACTACATATTCTTGAAAGAGGTTATGAATTTCGAAAAAATAAAAATTGTTATATGTATGAAGTTAAAAAAAAAATTACTAATAACAGTTTATAGAAAGAAAAAAAAAGATTATATAAGGATAATATGTACTAATGAGAATAAATTATGTGCAGAATGCCATATACAGTCCATACTGGAACCTCAACGCGAACGAACTTGTATACGTGATCAGAGGCAATGCTAGGGTTCAGGTGGTGAACGAGAACGGAGACGCCATCTTGGACGACCAGGTCAACGAGGGACAGGTGTTCTTGATTCCCCAGAACCACGCCGTCATCACCCAGGCAGGCAACCAGGGATTCGAGTACATTTCCTTCAGGACGAATGACTTGGCCCTCATTAACACCATGGCAGGGAGGACTGCCGTGTTGAGGGCGATCCCG